GCATGATTACAACGCCCCTTTTCCCTTATGGGCCACGCCACACGGGGTGAACACGGTAGTGGCGCCGCGCTAGGTTCAAAGTTCGTGCTACACGTATGAATTATGCATTCGGTGCATCGGCTCTGTATAATCATCTGGTGCATCATTATCCCGAGAGTTTCTGTTACGATTCCATATGGCACGAGATCTCGCCGCGATCTCGCGAAATCGATGGAAAAAATGCTACGGATAACACTAAGTATATACCGTGGCAGGCTAATTTAGAGGATGAATCGTTATGATCTTGCCGGGTCTCTGGATCGCGCTTCATCATTCGTTACGCGGAATTCAGAGTTTTGGGTGTTCGAAGCAATGGCTTCTGTTTGTTAAACGTTTGATACGAGTGAAATCGGGTCGAGAGTTTTATACAGGGAATTGTGTTAAAATCATAATTATGATCAGATTGTCGATATTTAGGCAAAAATATACTTTGATGGGTTTTCATACGAATTGTAATGCGTAAGTGAATTACGTTTGCTTGGACAGTAAAAACTGGAAACTCTTTGTTTCAGATCGAAACTTTCAAGACTGAATATTAAGAAGATTTGCTTTTTATCAATCGTTAATGACAGAAACATAGTCTTTCTAAATGTTTTTATATAAAGACTGATTTAAACTCTTTAACGTTTTTATATAATTTTTAAACGTTTTATATTATTAACTCTAAATCGATAATTTAAACAAAATTGTGCGTGTAAGGATTAAATATCGTTAATGTAAAATTTCTTTTTCCTTCGTTAATGGAATTTGCTTTTTTTCGATTTTAATTTATAATTTAATAATTTCGATAATTATAAATAAATAATAATTTAGTTCTATTTCTGTGTTTAATATCATTTGTTGATATTAAACACACGCCAAAGAATTGGACGGCAATTTTCGACTGATTTTTTTTCAGTCTTTTATTTCACCATTTTGACGGTTCAATATTTTGACAAGATTTCTTCGCACGAAAAGAGTATTAATCATGCAAGGGACAACGTGTGAAAATTTATTGAGTAAACCAAAATCTTTGGTGTATTGCGGATGTTTGTTTGATGAGAGAACTAGAGCAAGACTCGAAAGAGAAAATCAAGAAACTTGGAAGGGTAAATTTTATAATTTACTTTTTCTAAGAATATATATATTCTTAGAAATAATTTATTTATTAATAAATAATTTATTTATTAATATAAGTTATTTTTCTTTCTTTTTTTTTTTTTAAAGGATTGTTAGTTTTGAAAGATCGCAAAAAAATCCGCAAGAAAGAAGAACTAGAATTGCAACGAAAAGATAAGCATAAAGATGAAAAGGTTAGATAATTCGAAAGTGTATCTTTTTAGTAAAATACAATTATACGATTCTTTGAATTCAAGCAGGAAGCTCAAAAAGATGAAAAACTGAAAGAAGATCTCAAATTTACAAAATGGTCGAAACTGAAGATACTTCGACAGAGGAGAGAAAGTAAAGAATGGGAAGAATATTCGAATCGATATAAAAAGTGGATTTTTTGTACAGCTTTGATTAAATTCAAGGTGAAATGATAACTGTACAATGATAAAGAATTAAATTTTAATCTTGAGATGTCGTAGATCTTTCTGTCGCATCGAGAATGGCATCGCACTTGCCATTTAAAGGAGAGAACAGCTGTTCGGAAAAATATTCGTTTGGAAAATATTTCAAGGTATTTTAAAAGTCGTTTATAATATAATTACTAAAAAGTAATTGGCACGTTAGCAATAGATTTTTATAGACTTGTATAGAGAATGCACGCAATTTGAATAAATAATACAAAGTATGTAGAGTGTAATGCTTTCAATAATATTAATATTTGGTACGTAAAATAATATTCTACCGAGCTAATTTTTTAAATAAACAAATAAATATATATATATATATATTCTCAAAGATGTAAATTTCTGTAAAAAATTTACAACATATTACTAGCATTCTAGAATTGTCTATAATAATCGTCTATAATAATAATTTTAATAATTTATTAATAATTCTAATAATTTAAAATGATTTATTTGAAATTTTAAATTGTAATTAGCAAAGTTTGCTCTCTTTTAGAATAAGATGGAAGTATAACATCGACGAAGCATTGCCACCTGATTCTACAATTTTCGATGAAGTTAGTTCTTTGCAAAAAATTCTCTTCCCAAAAATTTTCTGAAACTTTCCAAGTATAATAATAAATAATTTTCAAGTATAATAAGTACAGCAAGGTTATAATTAATTATAATAAAGTATAACGAATTTTATATAATTTTTAATTAAATACAAAAGATATTGAAGTACGAACGAGAAAGAAAAAAACAGCTGAAGCTTCGTCAAGAGAGGATGATAAAAATCATCGCGAAGATCACTCAAGAAATGAACAATGATATTCGTTTGCGGAAGAAAGCAAGAGATATCTGTTTAAAGAGATTGAAATTAGAAGATGTCAGCGAGAAGATTCATAGCGAGGAATCTCTGATTGTGGAAGAAAGTGTTCCAGAGATTGATAAAAAGAATGGCAAAATCGAAGATTCAACAGTCAAAGACTTGAAACTCGAGGAAAGTAGAAAAGATGTTGAAAATGAAAAAGGAAAGGATATCGCAGAAGGTAAACGTGAATCCGAAAAATTCGTAATGAAAGGATCCAAATCATCGATGGAACAAGTTTTCGAAAGAGACACTTGCTTCTTTGCAATTCCATACGTCGTCACTTTTGAGGTAAATATTCTGACTTGATTTTTTCGAAGATTTCAACTCTCTTCGTTTGTTCCCTGTGTCAATTTGATACACTGTAAATACAATTACAAAAATACTCATATAGTTTTCAACTTTCAATGATTCGTGTCTTTTTATGTTTCAAAATTTTTGTCAGTGAGAATGGTACTTAATAAACTACTTTTATGCGTACAATGCATACAATATACAAAAATGTATAAAATATTCAAAATAGACTACTAGTATTATCTATAATATTTAATAGAAGAAATATTATAGATAATTTAGTAATTAAGTTTGACAAATGAGGAACAGACGAGAATCAACGTTAAACTATTACCTATTTTCCATTAAATCATTCATCACTTACTTTTAATTTTAATTCTACACGAATTCTAATATGTACTATATTTAATCAGGATTTCGAAGTAAATAAAAAGTATTCTCGCAAAGTGATAATCAGAAACAAAGCAGCAAATTGGGCATATTTACGATTCCATAAAGTTTACACAGAAATATGGGAGCCTGGAGTTATCGAGGTTTTTGAACAATTATTTTAATCTATAAATCTTATCAATTTCAAAGTTGGAAAATATTTATTTAATAATAATTAACAGACTGCAAGTTCACATTCTCGTGAACATAATTTAAAGGAACTGAGATCAAATAAAGATTCGACGTAGAGATCTTAATATTTAATATTAAAAATATTATATTAAATATTACAATGAATAAAATATTCCGGATGTTCAAAAATTCGCAGTCTGACAATTAAAATATTTATCTGAAAGTGTAATAAAAATATGTATTTGATAATATTAAATTTGATAGATGTATTGACATTTGTAAAATAATTTTATGAATATTTTGAACGCAGGTCGACACCATGGACGCTGCGAAACTTAAACCCGGGCTAGACGTAACAGTCAACGTAAAATTTTCACCAATTTACGAGGAAGAAGTGACAGGAGAAATTTCATTTCTCACTCTGAGTGCAGAACATCCAGAAACTTTCCATGAATTTCGTGTGTCTGTTCGTTGCACCCCGCAAAGTGCTATACCTGTTTTGAACCCTAAAGAACTTAGGTAGACGTTACAAAAAAAAAAAAAAAAATCACTAAACGAAAGAAAAAAAAACAGAAAAAGAAAAGATAGAAATAAGATTCAACGTTCAATTTTAATCTTTTATCTAAATTTAAATTTCAAGATATAATTAACAAAAAAAATCATAATAGATTTCCCTCAGCTCCAATTTGGGGATACAACGACGTAAAATTCAATGAAAGAGTTCTGGCTGTTTCAAACGATGGTAGAAAATCTTTCTCCCTCGTAATTGAAGAAAGAAACGATCGTGATCATTCTTTCTTATGGCGTTTCGATCAGGCAGATATTCAAAGTTTAACATCGTCCGTTTCATGCTTCAGTTAGTCCAAACTTCTACAACCAATTAATCACAATGAATCTCTGATGATGAATTGTTTATGCGTGTTTTTAGATGAAAATGAAAATGATCAAAGAAATATAGAGAATAACGGAAATACATCAGGCAAACAAAAATCTCGAAAAAAGTATCAAATTGAAGTGCCTCCGAAATTCAAGTGCCATTTAAAAATCACATTTCGACCGAAATATGTAGGTCTTCATCACGAGATGTTGGAGATTTGTTTTTTGACTGACGATAGAACGCTTGGACAACTGGTTCCTAATTTATAACATACGTTAGACAAACAATTATTAAAGGCCAAAGGAATAATATAGTTGTATTGTTTTCCAAGTAGAGCGTTCCTATTTGGGCAGAGGTGACTGGCTATAAAATCTATTTAGATCCACCGTGTATTGATTTGGGCATTGTAATGATCGATTCTGACGTTTGCCAACAGTCTTTTGACATTGTTAATAATGGTAATTGGAAATATACACGATCACGATATCAATTAACACGCTGACTGTCATTGTCTTCGATTAAAATAATATGAGCATCGTCGATAAACAAATTTCAAATATAAATGATTGGATAATATATAAAATATATTTTCTAAAGATTGAACCTAAATGAGACATACGTATAATAACACTGCGTGGCAGTCAATGTGTTAAATTGTTAATACATTAATACATTAATTAATGAATAGATTATTTTAGGACGTTCTCCAGTGAATGTTCTAATGAAAATTCCAAAGAATTTGAGCAATCAAGTGTCAGTTTATCCAAAATCGACGGTCGTGCAGTCTGAATCGGGTTCGAAGATTAATGTGAGATTGATACCTAAATCGAGTATCGTTGAAGCCTCTAAAAGGTGCACTGAAGTATTTATGAAGTATTAGAATACAAATGAAGTGAAATTCTATTTCACTAGAATTTATTATATTTTTCAGCTTCTATGATCCAATATCTAACATGTTAGAGTTTCCAATACAAGTACAAATTATGTCTCAAGAAAAACCACCGCCGCTGATACTGAAAGTACTTGCTACTTTAACTACAAGTCATGATCTTATATTAGGTTAGATATTAATAGGAAAATATACAGGTCTTCATCCTAATGAAGAAAAATATTGAAAAAGTAAAATATGAAATATCAAGGAAAATTAAATCTAACGAAATGTCTCGAAATAAATCAGCGAAATTAGAATTAAATGAAAATAATTTCAAGTAAATTGGTAAAATTAAAGTTAATAACATTAGGTGTTTAAAAGTAATTAATATTGACGCGAAAGAGTTGAAATACCTACGTTTGAAAAATTTAAAATACCTCGAAATAAATTAATGAAATTAAAATTACGGCTGAAGAACGTCGTAAATCAATCAATGTGTGATTAAAATTAATAGAAGAAAGCTTAAATAGATTTGAAATTTACGAGAGACGATTTAAAATGAATTTGAAAAATTAAAATTAACAAAAAAACGCTGAAGAATAGATTTAATAAAAAAATCTTAAATTTTCTTTCCTTCTTTTAAAATTTTCTTTATATTATTTATTTTATAGAACCAGAATACGTCGAGCTGGGATACGTCCACACACACGAATCCGTTTATACAGAATTATCACTTACTAACGAGTCTCTACTAATTCAAGAATACGTATTTATAGATCTACCTTCATCTATGGAAATACAGCCAAACCATGGTTTTGGTGCCATTCTTCCTGGAGAAACTATCAAACTTCATTTGATTTACTCTCCATGTTTGACAGATATTCCTAGCAATGAAATTAGAGCAAATGGATTGAGTGGTGAACGGAGGTTGCATAATGATTCTTATTGTTACTCTACTGTGTAGAGTAAAAAGGAATCAATTCGTTAAGAACCGACATAATTCATTATTTTAAATCAATTTATATTATTAATCCTCAAGTACTATCGTTGATTATCAAGATATAATAATTATACAAAATTTTATTAGAATTTAGAACATTCAATTTTATTTCATATCTTATATTCTCTATGACAGAAACTAGCGACGTCGATAAAATGAAATTAAAATTAGCAATTAAATAATTTAAATCCCAAACAATTATAATCTACAATAACTCGATAATACTAGTGGAAAGTTAAATTCTATTTTTTACTATTAGAATATTTCTTAATAATTTTTCATCATTTTATCTTTCATTTTACGAAATTTTAAGAAATTCTATTATTTATAATAATATGATAGATTACTGTCTGGTTCTTAATTGGAATTTTATCATTATATTATATTATATTTATTATTATATTCAATGATCAACGAAAGATCTTTCAACAAGTTTTCAAGTACAAGTAGTCACTTTGGCAAAGCTAGCTGGAAACAAGGGACAAATAATATTGAATAAATTGAAGAATGAGATAAATACGCAGTCAACACTGAGAAGTCGTGGATTTCCATATCCGGTCCCTGTGAATCTCAAAACACCTAAAGTAATACGTCGAACGATTGATCAGAACGAGGGTGATCTTGAAAAGCAGTTAAATAATAACACCGTGATAAATCAGGGGGATGAAGATGGTAAAAGATTTTTCTAAAGTATTTGTATAAAGTATTTGTGTGAATGCGTTTATAGAAAATTTGAGAATGCAAAGATGCATATATGTAAAAAATGTAACATAACTATAATTGATTCTTGGATTTCCGTTTAAGTGATAATCTTTTAAATTATAGTTACTTATAAAAATACGAATTATTATGTATATAAATCTAGACTTGATACTACTGACTATTGTTATAATAATTTTATGCATTCATAGGAAATTTTAAAATATGAGATTGCATAGAATGCATATATATATAAAGACTAATATAAAATCTAATATAAATATTAATATAAAATAATCTAAAATTAATTAATATAAAATAATCTAATAATTAATATAAAATAATCTAATATAAAAAGACATATAGAATATTCAAATTGTAATATTTATTACAATATAATTGTATTTTAATTATTATAGTATGATACAATTACAATTTGAATATAATATTATAATTCATTATATAACACGATTCTTTGCCGAAATTCTATTTCTTTTAATTACATTCTTATAAATATGAATTAATTTCCATAGAAACCCAACGTCTATTCATATTTAATTCCAATAGACAAGGAAGAAATTTCAGACATTTCGATAGGAAACTCTGATCGTGTGGATAGAAGGAAGGAGAAAAATTCCATAGAAATCTATGCGTACATTATAGATACTTTCTGCGAGCTGAGTGAGCAAATTATAGAATTTCCCCCGACCGCTTGTGGTTCGTTTTCAATGGTAAAACAAATAATTATATGTTCCTAGATAAATAAATTCCTAAGAACGAACGAATTTAGGCTTCAGTGCACCTGAGAGGATACAACATGGCTTCTTACCCTCATTGCACCTGTGGAATAATAAAAAATCAGCATAAAGAATTTACAGCTCGTTATCAGTTTAAGAGTTCTTCCGATAGAATCAAGATTATACCACAGTCTGGTGTATTGAACAATAATGAACTTATTGAGATCAATTTTATGTTTAAACCAAGATTACCGAAAAGTGTGATTTTCGAAGAGGGCCTTAGATTGAAAATGAACGACGAAGAGCGAGGAACGAAGAACGAGAAAGTCAACAAATCAACGAAGAAAGGTACTTTTATCAACGCTGTAATCGAGTGCCATTTTCATGTTAAAAGT